GCTGGAGCATTAGAATTACGAAAAAAAACTGTTGCAGATGTAATGACAAAAATTGAAGATGTATATATGTTAGATTATAATGCCATTTTAGATTTTGAAACAGTATCAGAAATTATGAAATCAGGTTTATATTTTATTTAAAAATAATAATAATTAATACACATACTTTATATTATTTATTATTGTCATTTTTTTAGGTTTTTCTCGTATACCAGTATATGAAAATGCAAGAACAAATATTGTTACAATGCTTTATATTAAAGATCTTGCATTTGTTGATCCAGATGATAATATGCCATTAAAAACTTTATGTCAATTTTATCAAAATCCATGCAATTTTATTTTTGAAGATGTTACATTAGATATTATGTTTAAACAATTTAAAGAAGGTTCATTTCTTTCAAATTAAATTGAATAATAGAATTATTAAAAATAATATTTTTATTAAAAATTATATATAACAAGAATTTGCATTTATTTTAGGTCATAAAGGTCACATGGCATTTGTTCAAAGAGTTAATAATGAAGGCGAAGGCGATCCATTTTACGAAGTAATAGGATTGGTCACATTAGAAGATGTTATAGAAGAATTGATTCAAGCTGAAATTATGGATGAAACTGATGTTTTTAGTAAGCCATATTTTGAAAATGTACTATTTCATGTATATTTAATGTATAATTAATTTCAACCATATCATTTATAGCGGATAATAAATCCAAGCGTAGAAGACAAGCTAGGCACAAAATACAAGATTTTACCGTGTTTGCAGAGAAAAAAGAAAATCAACGAATTCATATATCGCCGCAATTGACGTTGGCTATGTTTCAATATTTATCTACAAGTAGGAAGAAGTGTTTTGATTTAAGAAAATATGATATTTATCTAAAATCTTATTTCAATACTCTTAAAATGTATCTGAGTCTAATGTATGATCCACAGCTGTAGATGCTTTTAAACCCGATACTATATCAGAAACTATTTTACGTCGTTTACTTAAGCAAGATATTATTTATCATATCAAAGTAAAATCGCGTGAGAAAGCAAGAAATGATCCAGCAGCGGTAATTTATCAACAAGGAAAAGCAGTTGATTATTTCGTTTTAATCTTAGAAGGCCGAGTTGAAGTTACAGTTGGAAAAGAAAATATGATGTTCGAAAGTGGACCGTTTACTTATTTCGGCTCTCAAGCACTGACTGTCAATATTGGAATTGGTAACATTTATATTAAGTTCATCTATACTTAAAATATTCAACATGTTTTATAAACTTATATGTAGAATTTTTCAGCCGAATCACCTACTAATACAAATCCTCAAACAGTGGGAAGTATACAATCGATAAATTTAGATTCTATGTTACGATATACATTTATTCCTGATTATACAGTACGTGCAGTATCGGAAGTATTTTACGTTAAAATTAAAAGATCATTATATTTAGCTGCAAAACGAGCAACACTTCTCGAAAGAAGTCAAAAAGATTCATTACCTGGTCAAGAACAATTTGATGACGAAGTAGAAAAAGTTAGTTGCATAAAATGTGCATAAAATATTAATAGATAGATTAATATATAAATTTTTATTATAATAATTTTGATTTGTAGTTACTGCATTCTTTGGACGAAGACGATCGTAGTATGCCAGAATCTCCAGTATTACCTGTTGAAAAAGAGAAAGAAAGTAAAAAAGAAAAAGAAAAAGAAAAAGATAATGTACAATCTCCTGTTTATAGTGCAACTGCTCCAACTTCACCTGCTCCAGTCAGTGCTAGTCCAGTTACACATTCGAAATTTATCTCGTCATACAGTGATCATAATGGAAAACTTAAAAATTCACCTGTAAAGGTTACATTTAATTATTATAGTTTTATAATTTCAGTTTTATAAAAATATAAAATTTCATATTAAATTAATATATATGTTTTAGACAGCAGTAATTAGTTTTGGTCAAGCACAACCTAAATTAGATTTAAATACAGAAATTCTTGCTCGTCAAGAAGCAAATAGAACTATATCTACAAAAAAGTTAATCGATGATGAAGAAAGAACAAATCTCCTGCCTAAACAAGAAGACTCTTAACGTTCGAGAAATAGTCGACAATATTTAAATGAGTCGACATTAATACTACAGGTATTAAACAACGAAGAGCAGGAAAAACCTCTATGACATACAATGCTATTATGGCATTAGGTACTTAATAAATTACTTAAATCTTTACCACAAAAGAAATTAATAATATATTTTAAGTTTTAAAAAGTTAGTTTGAAAGATATCCATATACAAATGCGATATTCTAATTTTAAAAGTTAGTACGCTCAGGGAAGGTTGCCAAAATTTCAGATACTCATATACATTCAATTATTCTTATAGTTTACGTAAATAACTTAATACGTAATTAAAATTTAAACGCATTTTCAATCAATAGTAATGATTTTATACATTTTTCTTTTTTCAATATTTTGTATTTTGAAAGAGCGGAACACTTACTGAAAATCGTATTATTATAGGAAACTTCATTTTCTATTATTTGTCACAAAATGCACATATATTTTTTAATAATTCTTCTTGAACATTTGTAAATATCACTTTACCATACATTTTCTCATAAAAAAACTTTTATGAAATATGCATTTCGTTTACTGATGAAATACATATTTACATGACATTTCTTAATAATTGATATGAGCGATTCTCGTTGTTATGCTTATATCTTATGAAGCAAAAAGAGTTTTGAATAAACAAAACTTTAATGCAGTTGTGTAGCTTTACTACGTATATATTATAGAAACAAATGTAAACAATAATTAGGTTTTTTAAATTTGTTACGTTATTAAATTGAGAAATTTTACGTTTATTCAAAAACGTATTTGATCGAGAATGCGTTATGATAAGAAACTAAAAGAACACATCTGAATGTATATAATTTAACATATTTTCCAGATCCAGAGTCTTTAAAACAATATTTTTTTCTTTAGTTAAATTGTTCAGTTAAATCCTTATAATATTCCTTGTACAAGTGTGAATAGTGTAAATAGAAGGAACATGTTGTTCCCATTTGTAATGAATTGAAATCCTCAGTATAAAAATACTATGTATTTTTATTCAGTGCCTTAAAAAATTTATAAACTATGTTTAATCGTGTTTAACAAAATGCATTTTAATAGAAAATAGATATAATTTCTAGAGTGAATTCATGTTATGTTCATTTAAATTTATTTACTATTTTAGTAAAAATATTATTAATTTATCATTCAGTTCTAAATAGAAATTTATTTTTCCATAAATTTTCGTTTATAACGTGAATATTTGTGTACATTCAAGAAAATATGTTTAATAATAATGTCAAGGTACAATCTTCAAAAAAAATAAATTTTAAAAAGTTCGATATTTTAACAATAATATTTAATGTATATCTTTATTATTTTTTTTTTAATATTATTTTCTATAAATTTATAAAAAATATATTTAAAAAAAGATATTCAATGTTTTTACATATTATAAATTACAATTAAATTAATAGTTTGGAATAATATTTGATAGAAATTTTTTTTATTTCAAGATCTTTAATAAAGAAATCATATTTATGTAATAAGTTCTTAAACTTACAAAAAATTAAATACAATAATAAAAATTTTTTTTTTTTGTAAAGAAATTAATTAACATATTTAATTTAAGAAATGTAGAACAAGTCTACCATATAAATAATTAATAGAATATAATTCTTTATTTAAATCACAATTTATTCCTCTCTAAGATTTAATAGATAAATTATTACTGCCATATAATTTTTTAAACTTAAAAATCATATTGTTTGTTTTAAATAATTTTCAAAGATGTATGACAAATTTAAAAGCAATATTATTATCATTATTTATAGATATTAATTATTTGAAAAATGGAATAAAAAAATAATATCTTAAATTATGAAATGTATATATCTTTTATTAAGATATTTTCATCACAAAAAAATATTCATTTTAGAATAGTATCAGATTTTAAAAAATTATTCAGATTATTTTTTACATAATAATATATTTATTATTTGAACAATTTTATATAATATGTTTGCATCTCGAAATTTTGTGAAATATTTTTCATTAATATAAAATATATAATATAATTTAAAACATATTTTAAAATCTATATATTCATATTGTATATTATGTTATAATTAATGTTAATATTTAGAAAATGCATAACTTTATTAATAACTTTATAAATAATCACGTATTTTATAGCATTTATCATTTTGTTTATTTTTTTTCTTCAATACTTAATAACATTTTGTTTTTAATTTAAAATAAACATTACATTTTTATAGTTCATTTAGTTTCATTATGCATTTTATTTAACATCAATATTTAAAGTACTTATTAAAATTTTTTTATATTTAAAATTTATTATAAAAATTAATTAATAATGGTGTGTTTATAATTATAATAACTTTAAGTTGTATTTACAATTGTATCTTATGATAAAGATTTAAATTTTATTTAAGAATATGAAAAAAAAGTTTAAAGTAACAACTATTTACATGCATTATATTCGTAATGATTTTTAGTTAATTATTAATTATTATATATTAGTGTGCCTATAAATATAAATGTATACTGCATACACCAATGATATAAAAATTATTTAATAAATCAAAATTTTCTTTAAAAAAAAACAATTGCTATTTTAATACGTTTACAATTAAATTAATACATTTTATATTGGTGTATAGCGGGAAAATCACACGTAATTTCATTACATGTAGTTTCAACAATATTGTATAATGTATATTGTATAATTATAGAATCGATGCATGTTAATAGAAATATGTATACGAAAAGAGAAAAAAACAAAATATTTACCAACATATTATATTCTAATAAAGATACAGTTTTGTTTTCAAATTATCAAATTTTTTTTTACTAATTTTAGTTAAATTAATATTTTACTAATTTGATCTACTAATAACATATATTTCAATATATTGTTATTGATAAAACATTGTAAAATAGTAAATTTTAAATTTAATCATTAAATTCTTTTCTTAAACTCTTTTTAATTTCAGATAATTTCTTCATATTAATATTTCCTTCTTGTATAAAAGTTTGAAGCATAACAATTTTAGAATTGATAAAATTAGAATTTAATCGTCTTTTTTTATGTTTACATTGTTCGAGAGAAGGATTAATTATATAATCTCTTATAAGACACCAAGGATATTTCTCTTCCTTAAAAGCTACTAAATCTATTATAATTTGTGAAAAATTTATTGTTAAATTTTCAGGTATATAAATATCAACTATAGTCTCCTGATCTACTATTTTTTTCATGCAAAATAGATTTTGACATTGCAACTTGACATTAAAAACAACCCAACTATTTTTTGGCAACATATTATGAAAATTTGCTGACAAAAACAATTGGTTATCTATGTAATTAATTATTATTTTTGGATATAATTGTTCCTTATGTTTATGAGCATATAAATTTATTCTTTTCAATTTATCTTCTTCTATTGTTAATATCTCATTCAATGTTTGTAATTCTTGAGCTCCTTTATAAATTTTATCCATTATAAATGTAGCATTTTCTAACATATTAGAATGAAGATTAATCAAAGTATCATTTTCTATTAATAATGTTTTTTCCACAGTATTTATAGAAAATTCTGTTAATTGCTTATCTATTGTTAAACCTAAGATTATTTTGGAATCATATGATTGTAAACAAGTAAAGTTTTCATCTTGAATTTTTATTTGATGAATATTATCAGTCAATAATTGTTTTTTTGCATAATATAAATTAGATTCATATGAATAAACAATCCATAATGTATCTTCTGTCAAATCACTAAAACCAGCACAAATGGTTTGTATTTGAGTTCTTAAATAAATTGTTTCAAAAATAAGTGAATTATCTTGTGAATACATTATAATAATAGCATTTGTAGTAGTAATAAAAAATAATCCACCAATTTTAGTATTCTTTCGTATAGGTATTATATCTCTAATAAAATAGATACTGCTATGTATTATTTGTATAGTTTCATTTATTAATGTTAAAATCTTTAGTTTATCACCAACTATACATAAATTTTCTATGGTAGAATCATTATTTGTTAAAGCTTTCATAAAATCTTCTGCAACATTATTTATGTTTAATGGATAAATACATAACATGCTGGAATCAATTTCCTTAGAAGAAAGTTGATATAACACTTTATTAGTCATTTCTCGTTTATTATCCAAATAAAGATATTCATTTCTTGGTATTAATACTTCATAAAAAACTGTACCCATTCCAATTGCATTTTTACTAAGAATAGCAAATTCTCGATATCTTGAAAGTTTATAAATACCTCGTGGAATGCAAATTAAAAAAATTCGATCAGAAAAACATTGTATAGTTTTTATTGGAGCTGGAGCTGTTAAAACTTCAGCAGATATATAATTATTATTCATATATGGAAATATTACAAGTTTATTTTGATCCCAACAAAAAACAGTTTTTTCACCATAAAATGTATGAATAATAAAATTTTTTGATACAAAATATGTATCTGTCGTAATATACATTATTGTGATAGTATATGATATTTATTATACGATATTATTTTTATTAGAAAAATAATATCAATATGAATTCCAATATGAATGTTGATAATATTTTATTATAAAAAATATTTTGAAAATTTTTTTCATAAAAATTAAAAATGAAAAAAAACATTTGAATTAGGTTAATTTTAAAGACGAAACATACGTATAACAAGTTTAATAATTAAAACTTTTTTTTCGCATTTTAATTGTTAATATAGAAAATAATAAAAATTTTAGTTACTATCAGCAAGTGTTATATAAAATAGATTTAACATTTAATATATTTTTTGTTCCATTTAGGCACTAGGATCTCTTTTCTTATTATTTAGTGTTATTCTTAACTTACTAATTCGAATTAGAAGATTGCAATATTATAATTGATTGAAATTAAAATTAAATTTCAATATGAAATTATTAATTATAATTAAATGAAATGTCCTATAATATAAATATGATTATGAAATATTTTTTTCCATAATCGTATATAAAATATTGCACATTTTACACGTAATTATATTTATATTAATTATATCATATCAAAGTATATTATATTAAGTCATTGTTTTACAGATATATATATATATATATATATATATATATAT